TATATATATATATATATATATATATATATATATATATATATATATATATATATATATATATATATATATATATATATATATATCGTGTCGTGAAGCATTTACCGCCGTGCACGTTGACGTGGGCGCACGTTTTCAGGAGGATCACATTGTCGTAGTTCAAAACCTCGAATGATTGTATCTGGCTATCGTTTCCGCATTGCCGTTTCGAACTCACCTGGCAATCTCTGTCAGAAAACGACGAACCCGCACAACCGAGAAAAAGCGACATATCCATTATAACGATTCTGCTTTGGTTCGAGATTTGCACGACCAATAAGCAGATTCATGCACTGTTGCAGATGTTCTTCCAGGCCAGCAAAAGTCACAGCCTCCTCCAAAAGCGTTGCGAGTCCCGGCCACTGACTCCTAGTCTCGGCGACTGTCAGCTCCTCGTCGCGGAAAGGATCTGTATCTGTCTCATTTCCAAACACGATTGCGTCGGGCCGCACGCCAGCCCTGCATCGTCGGTGGTCCATGTATGGGAATGGGTGAATATTGTTTTGTCGCTTATATGTGAATTTTTAGAAATCTACAAAACAGAACATTACAGAAGAAACATAGGAAAAAAAAAAACAATGGTACTCATCGTTGGATCGCACTGCAAGGATAAAACATGGCAGAGAAATCCTTGCCATCGGAGACAAAATAAGGCGGTGACATGATCAGGCGCCAGACGCCGTCCCGAGGGACCGTCCCGTAGTGTGTGTATAGTATGCGATGCACAAGGGGAAAAACGATATCATACATCAAATCACCGTCGACTGGGTTGAGAACAAAGGTACTGAAGTACGTGGTCGGCTTAGACATTAGGACACGAAGGTGTTCGATGGTGTGGTCACGAATATAAGTCTCTGTAGTGAGTCTGACGACTCGTTCCTCCTCGACGCTGGCAATGAAATGGCGATCCACCTTCTTGTCTTCATTGCGGTATCCCACTGCATCATCGACAGGATCTGTTACAGGAGTCATTGATTCATAATAGTATACGGTGTCGCCGCCTGTCAGTTTTGTGGTGTGGTAACATCGGAAAATCATTGGCGCGCAATGCATTGTCGCTTCTTTCGTGTGGCGTTTGAAAAGTGTTGCAATTCACAGAAACCAACACCGTAAGTTATGAACCCAACGATCGAGTAACGAATAACGCAAACATGATATTTTGCATGTACCGTACGGGGAAGGGGAACGCCTTGTATACATATATATGGGATGAGCGGTTAGTCGCGGTCTCGAACACTGTCGAATGTTGAAAACCTTTACGATTTTGTAAGTTATGAACCCACCTGTTCCAGACTACGCATGAGACGAGCGGGATGATGGTTCGTTGACACTTTGGCACTGTTGTCCGCAACCATCCTTTGGCATCACACTACGCACATCTAAGTGAAGATAACTACAGCGTTGCAGCGACCGGTCGAGTTTAAAGAAATACCATGCGTTGCGTGCTAACCTTTTCACTTGCTCGACCGCAACAACTGACACGATGC